TGTTGAGCACAAAAGAAGATAGACTACTTTTAAGAATGTGGGTAGCTAAACTGCTGGTCCCCAGTAACTTCCAGTAGGGAAAAAATATATATATACTATCTGAGTCATTGGGGACCAGAAACTGTTTGGTTAGTTACCCACATTCTTCAAAGTATCTTCTTTTATGTTCAACAGAAGAAAGAAAGTATTACAGGTTTGGAACAACTTGTGGGTGTGTGAACGATGACAGAATTTTCATTTTTGGATGAACTATACCTTTAAGTCCACCGTGAGCAACTGAAATGCTTCTCTGCAAACTGCCCGGTCATCATTAGTTACTGGACAGACCCGTTGATAATTCAGCCCTACATCTGGAGAGCCCCTTGTGTTCAAAGGGCTGACAGGGTGGATGTGAGCCACGCAGGTTTACTGCATGCTGCGTTCCGTGTGAAAGAGCCTTAACGGCGCGCGTTCTGGAGACTCCGCCGCTATGGAAACAAAGATGCCAAAATGCAATCACGCGCAAATGAGCTTCTCTAGTACTTCTTATGAAATTGATTTAATTATAATTGCTATTGTGATGGCTACAACCACTATAGTATTTATGGTAGTCCTGTTTGGTAGGGTGAGTACGGTAGTAGTAGTTGTCATAGTAATAGTATTATCCAACCTGCAAAATCTTTGGCCTTTGTAAAATACGGGACAAATCATAATTTAACCTTTAAATACAGGTCAATTCCGTATTTTAAGGAATGGGTGGCAACCCTAGTTGTTCAGGAAGTGATTCAGTGTAGAGGAGAAGCTCCAGAGCAGCTGTAGTGTGTTTGGTTCTGCTGTGTGTTCTTCTGCTAACTGCAGTCATAGTGCTGTGTGTCCACATCTATACAAACAACACAAACTGACACAAGAGAAAGATCAGCTACTAACCAAGATTAACAACCTCACAGAATAGAGAAACCAGGTATTAACCAACAATACCAATCTCACTGAAGAGAGAGAGAAGCTACTAACACACTATGTGTGTGTGTGTGTGTGTGTGTGTGTGTGTG